GACAACGCCTCACTTTGTCGGTCGATTAGTTAGGCCCGCTAAAGCCTTCAAGCCATTGGAAAGCAAGCCCACAAAATTATTTTCAAAGGAAGTGAGGACATAAATTAAATGTTAATAATAGAACTAAGCATTTCATTGGCAGAAATAAATATTAATAATAGTTTTTTAGAAATCGAGGTATTAATCCCTTCATAACTTTAAGAAAAGGCTGCACTTTTTAGCTATTACAACCAAAATGGAGTATGATAGCAAGATATAAAAAAATCGATCGTTATTATGTTTTGGTGATTTTTTCCCGCTCTCGTTAAGGAGTGTAATGAGTTTGGTGGGATTTTGGTATTTTAAGTATTCGTACCAAATCCACTAGAATATGTGTCATAACTATGTTCAATATTCACTCTTTTTCTTTTATAGTAAGCTCTATACACACTCACTTAAACACTTTGTTCGTCTATATCCCTCAAATATTGGTCTTTATTTAAATCTCAAATCTTAATACTTTTCTCTCAGTTTTACAAACAACACGACAAAAAGTTCAATTAATATTGACATTCTAATTTTTTTAGATATATTCAGAAGTTTATATAAAATTATTCGGGTATAGTAAGCGTCGGTTTCCCCTAACCACATATAAGTTGGTTCGGTATGTTGTATGTTATATTACATCCCCACAGATTTTGGTTAAGGGGATGGTTACGATTTAATAACGTGGTTTGGGGACAATATATAGGAAAATCGGCACCACTCGAACCCGTTGTCATCCCTAAAATGAAGAGAAAATTTAAAAATAAGCATAATCTCTTACCTTCAAAGAATTATTCCTTTTTTTTTTGGAACAAAGAACGATTCCATGGATATATTAGTAAAAATTTTAAATTCAATAATAGATGAATTCTTGACTAAAATTTGAGTTCAACCGGTTGGCTAATGATTAAGTGTCCAAATAAATCTAAAATGACACTATAGTATTTCAGCTATGTGTTGAATATCGACACTTACATTCATGGTTGTCAAGACCATATCAAATCAATCAGTTGGATCATGTCCGTTTAAAGCTACCTCCTACAGGGTTGCCATAAAGTTGGATTCCTAAAGAGCTGGTACATGTTCAAAATTGCAAAAATGGTGTGGTTGACTTGATTGACCAAGTACTAGCCCAAGCACATTATTGGGAACATTTTGGGGAGAAGAATAATATTATTAAATAATATAAGATTGTTAATCAATTCTCTCTCAATAAAATGAAGTTATTGAGACTGCTTGGTTAATGACATGGAAAAGAGGAAGAAAGAGATAGGGAGAGGAAAACCATGACATAGATGAAGGTAGCAAATGGAAAGAGAGAAAGTGAAAGGGGTCAGGTGGCACGTTTTTTAAGTTTATTATATACAGAATGAGAACTTACAAAATGATGCTTATACATATAAATTATATTTCAATCATTAAAATGTTTAAATTTGTACCTGGCATGAATATATTTTAGAATACGTATAAGAAAGATACAGGGTTGGGAGTCATCTTTCGACTCTTGAATGTTAAATCACTTACTTGATTACCTCATACATTTAAATCAATTTGACAATCTTGCTTACATTACGCCTATTAGCATGATAACAAACCTCATCCGGCCAACTGGTCGGGCAAAATGCTAGTTATGTTCTATTTACATTGGGTTGTCTTTTTGGCTTCTGTTTAACGCCCTCCTTCCTATGTTGCATAAATTGACAATTTCTCCTATATTGCCAATTAAATGTAGACTAGTTCAATCTTTTACGGTTTTGGCTTCTTCGCGTATTACTCCCCTTCATTATGACTCTTTCTATTTGCAGATTCGTCTAGAGGAAGGATATGTAGCCGTGCCTGCTTCAGGTTTGTTGCAGTAACCTTCTGCACTTTTTGTACTCTCTCTTTTCCCTATCTTGCTTACATTACGCCTATTAGCATGATATCAAACCTCATCCGGCCAACTGGCCGGGCAAAATGCTAGTTATGTTCTATTTACATTGGGTTGTCATTTTGGCTTCTGTTTAACGCCCTCCTTCCTATGTTGCATAAATTGACAATTTCTCCTATATTGCAAATTAAATGTAGACTATTTCAATCTTTTACGGTTTTGGCTTCTTCGCGTATTACTCCCCTTCATTATGACTCTTTCTATTTGCAGATTCGTCTAGAGGAAGGATTTGTAGCCGGGCCTGCTTCAGGTTTGTTGCAGTAACCTTCTGCACTTTTTGTACTCTCTCTTTTCCCTATCTCTTATGATTCATAAATTCCTAGACCCATCCTTATGTTCTATTTTGAATTGCTAATGAAGTTACAAGAGGAAGCTCACGTATCTGAGTTCAATTTATAGTGGAAGACAAGACGAGGAGACAAAATATAAAGCAGGGAGAGGAGAACAAACAAGGCGTGAAAAGGAAACAAGACAATAAAGCAACAATATATAAATGTGATGTAGATTATCACAACAAGTTTCGTGATTTTCCTTTGTATGTGTAGTTAGGATGTTTGATCAAGTGGAATGATCAGTTAGATTTATGTGAGGTTCAATTCAGTTAGGATGCTACAAGCATATATAAACTCTTAATTATACGTAAACATTGATGAATGAGCTTTCATAGTATTTTTCACAATCAAGTTATATATGATTTTCAACTCATATGTTTCTTGTGATGGCATGGATGTTCTAAATAAGATATTTTAGTTATTCTAATGCTACTATTAACAAGTAATTATTATAGATGTTTATTGACTAATTACAAACAACAATTATTAGTAATTATTAATGGAATTCCCCTTAATCATTAATATGCCAACGATCACAGTCTCGTGACTAAAGAGTAAAATCATGTGTCAAATGATACAACTAATCATGGTAAATCCCGTGACTACTTTAGCACCTAGTCATGGGAATTTCCCCGTGAGAAATGATTAGTCACGAGATTATCCGAGATTAAATAAATCATTTACCAAGGGAATATTCCCGTTATCATGTCATCTTTTGTCATGGATATCCCGTGACCAAATACATTTGACCACGGGCATGCTTGTCACAGGAAACACCCGTGATGAAATGTGAATTTTCCTGTAGTGACAGATTAAGTAGTGGAGTACCCAACTAAGAGCACTAACAAGGTTGCCAATCGGGGCTGAATATAGTTGTAACATATTGTAATTTTCTTACTACTATTAGAGGTGAAAATTGGATAGTTGAACTCACAAATCCTACCACAAATGGTATGAGTGATAATTGGGTGTGGGTTGTAAAATAGGTCACCTACTAAAGAGAATTGTGGTTGACGCACGGTCCATCAAAATTTTTAACTCTAAGCCGTGAAATCTCCTACCTATAGCTTTACATAAAATAAAGTTTACAACCTTAAACACATCATAAAAATCCGTACAATTTCGATCAAAATACCTTCTAAATTCTTTAGTTATCTATCCTTCCCAATTTTGAATTATAATATGTTCTCAAAGTTATTGTTATTGATATTGAGGAAAATTGCAAAGTCCAACTTGACCGAAAACCTATATCAGATGTTGATTTCCTTTAACGATTCCTTGTTAAGTTTTCTTGTATATTAACTTGGCTCATTTTGCCATTCATTTCATGAGTGTTTGGTGAGTGATTGCTTCAAGATTTAGACAAGCTAGATTTGTGATGAAACTTCACCTTTGTTTTATTATTATTATTTTGTTATGATTAGACTAATTAGCCCATATTCATCAGTTGTATATCTTTATGATTTGTGAATTATTACTTGTTGAATTTTTATCCTTCATCACCACATAGTGGGTGGTTCCTTACCCATTCAAATATCCAGAAAATTACCTACTACTCACCCCCTAACTATTATAACATATTTGTGTACGCATTATATATTTTGTATCACTATCGTATAAATTTTTCAACAAATTAATTTATGTTTCATAAATAAAATTTGAAATCTTTATTATAACTAAGGAAATATTGCCGATTGAAAATTACTAAAGATAACCTTGGTTATATAGTGGTGCTGAAGAAGTTGACACCAGGCAGCGGCCGATCCAGAACACAGTATAGCACTGGGCCGCATTTCATTAGAAAATTAGATACCGTAAAAAAAATTACAGTTTTTTTTACAATATCAATTATATACGTCGATCTTTTAAATTTTAATATAGTGAATTCATCAATATTGGAGTTTAAATCCACATCAATAGCGTACTCTCTTTAAGATAAAATAGTTAACCAATTGGCGAGAAATTCTTCCCTCATTTTGTTGCGCAAATGTCAACACAATCGACTAATCAATATATATTGTGTATCAATTCCTATTTTCAACAGATGCTCTAATAATTTCTTAAGTGAATAAACTTCATATTTCTTTTAGTCTTTTACGTTTTAGAATTTTAGGTTTCATTGTTTGCTTTTCTTTATATTAGAATCATTGCAGCTAGAATTTTAAGGCTAAATTTAGAGTTGTGATTTGAATATGTTGATCTTATCCATTTTCCTAATTACGCACAATTTTATTATAAAATAACACTGACCTAAATGACTAAAATCGATAAACTCATAAAGACTATACTAGTTCCGGATCCAGAGGAGGGTTGGGCCGTGGCCCGGGGTGGCCACCCCTGGATCCGCCACTGCATCAGGATGTTGTTAATGAAACAGAGAAACCCATTGGTGATGAAATTGCTAACCAAATCCAACGGGGACAAGACGCAAAGCAAACAGACAGATAATTGAAGTAAAACACAAAGAGGATTAGAGATCCAAACCTTGGAATCTCTAATTCTTAAAGTCTCGCATTGCATGGTCTTATTGATCTCTAAGCTTGCCAAGAGCGGACGCCTCTCCACCTTCGAATTCGTCCAATTTGATCTGCATGTATAAATAGCAGAGCTTCCAAGACAACTAGGTAACACATTATCAAAAGAAAATGACGATGATTAGGACGACAACTTTCTACCACCTCTTACTGCTGCTGGTGGTTGCCAATGGAAGCTTAATGTTACCAGCAGTCACTTCGTACTCGACGGGGAGCTTCCATGGGTGTACTGCAACGCGGTTGTTATCAAGGATCGTTGCCCTCTGGAAGAAGCCATCAAGGATGTCATACGGGACCTGGCCGAGGTCACGCCGTTAGAACACGGTCTCCGTCTTTGTACGGCCGCGACGGTGGAGGGTTTTACCCAGCACGGCAGCGCTAGCTGTAGAAAGAACCTGCGGAGCTGTGCCAGTTGCCTAAATGCTGCCAGGTCTTACCTGCTGACGACTTGCGCCGACCACCTCGGAGGTCGGACTTTTGCAAGAAATGGTGATTACTATATGAGGTTCGAGAACTATATCTATTGTGACCAGTACTAGCCAGCCTACGGCTAAGCATAACCGTATGTTTTGTTGGTGTAGCATGGGGATTTTCGGAACGGGCGGTAACGTAAGGCCTCGTGAATAAGAAAATATGCATGCACTTTTATCTTTGAAGGAGAAATAAATCTACAGTTACTAATAATTCAGTCACCTAGTATATATTAACCCTCAGAACGAGAAAACTGATCTTGTTTGGCAATGAGGAGTGCAAATTTGATGGGATGCAAATGGTGAGTTAAATTATAGGGAAGAGTAAATTAGTGTTTGGAAAAAAAGAGTAAGATATGCAAAATGTAGTATGTTATATGAGTTTTAATATAATATTAAAAAATTAAATAAAAACCAACCTAACCCCACCTCCGCCGTTCTCTGGCTCCACCTTCTTTCTTCTCAATTATTTCCTTTCCACTTTCCGGGCCCCACATTCTTTCTTCTCCATCGGTCTCCTTCCTTCCCATGATCCCATCTCTTCCTCTGGCTTGAGATAGGGTGTGTAACCCTTTGTTACTCACCAGTGAGTAACCACCTTAGGACCGTAGATCTAGGGGTGGATCAATCATGCGGCTGGGCTGAATGCGGGGTCCAGAAGAGTATTTTTGTCCGTTTATGAATTTTTATTTTTATTATATTCCAAGTTTAATGGCCGCTTTTTCAAAAAAAGGAGACGACTTTTAATGGTTGCTTTTTCAAAAGAGGAGAGAGAATCATTTCTCTGCAACTCTCTTTTCTTTTTCTCCCTTCTTTTTTCTCTCTCAATCTATCATTTCTCTTTCTCTGTTCTTTTTTTTTTCTCTCCAATCTCTTTCTCCATATCTAGATCTGCTTCCTTCTCTTCTTTTTTCGTTTTTTTCTCTCCAGTAATCAACGAAGAAAATTTGCAGCCACCCTCTTTCATTGCGTTTTTTTGTCTCTTCATCAACTCGTTGGCCTCAATTTCGGTCTTTCTCCCTTTTTTGGCGTTTGGTGTTCTTGATTGCGGAGGAAATGAGACGAAATAGAAGATGAGTTTTTGTTCCCTCTCCCTCCTTCTGTTTTTTTTCCTTTTAGATAATATATATTGATATTATGACTCTATACCATATGGTATTGGGTGGTAACGAAATATATATTGATATTACCACACTATACCCTATGGTAATGTATGGTATTGCGTGGTAACGAAATATATATTGATATTACCACTCTATACCATATGGTATTGTGTGATATTACCATACCATACCATATGGTATTGTGTGGTAACGAAATATATATTGATATTACCACACTATACCATATGGTATTGGGTGGTAACGAAATATATATTGATATTACCACACTATACCATATGGTATTGGGTGGTAACGAAATATATATTGATATTACCATACTATACCCTATGGTAATGTATGGTATTGCGTGGTAACGAAATATATATTGATATTACCACTCTATACCATATGGTATTGTGTGATATTACCACACTATACCATATGGTATTGGGTGGTAACGAAATATATATTGATATTACCACACTATACCATATGGTATTGGGTGGTAACGAAATATATATTGATATTACCACACTATACCATATGGTATAGACTGGTAATAACTGGAAAAAATTTTATGTCAAAAAAATATCAAAGTGGATATCATTTTGAAGAGTATAATTAATCTGATCTAAATGTGCAAAAAAAAATTAAATTTCGACTTAAAACGAGTGAGAAATCGTCCGTTAAAGATTAAGAGAAGGAAAATTAAAGGTTTTTCGATGAGAGAGAAGGAGGTCCTGATGTGGTCGGTCAAAAGTCAGCACGTCAGCAATAAATAGGGGATAAGTGCATTTTACCTTGCTGCCCTTCCGCATTTAATTTAAATAAAAAAGTGGACTGACACGTGGAGATCAGAGAATGGGTTACTGATGGGTTACTGACCCATCAGTTACTGACACAATCCGCTCCCTCTTCCTCTCCCTTTTGCACCCCAATTTGTAGCGCTCAAAGCTTGTTTATGGTATCTGACATATATCGAATACCGTGCCGAATTTGTTTATATTTGTTATTACTAAATATACGTCTTATTTTTTGGATAAGGATTGGGATTGTATTTTAATTGTTATTCGGTTTTAGGGATTACGGAATTGAGATCGGTATATACCGAAATATAAATCACTACCGAAATATAAGCTAGTGTGTATTTTATCCTCTCAACTAGACTCTCTCATTAACTACAACACGACCCTCAACCACCAAGAGTGTCATTTACTTATACATAGATTATTCCATCAATATTTCACAACTTAGAAGTTCTCATCCAACTCAAATTTGACTTTCCAATTTAAGTCACTCTCGTCCCTCATCTAATATCTTGTTATTTTTATAATACCAAAAATTAAACACTAATATTAGTCGTCTCTCAACCTCCAATTCGTCAAATTAAAGATTACCAATGACAAGAACTTGAGATGTCATCTCTCCTCCATTCTTCTTATCCATATCCTAGCTCTAGGCAAACTCAAGACTCTTTGCTTAATCTCGTAGCTCTAAATTAAACAATAAAATCTAATTTATATATTTAATTATTTATTGTAAAGGTAATTAATTTCGTATTCAATAATACCGATTGGGATATATACCGAAATACCGATTGTGATACCAAAATATTTAGGGATTGGGATTGATTTTAGAGTGTAGTTAGGTATTCGAGATTCGGTATTTGGTATTGGGATACCGATACCGTACTGATTTCCACCCTTACCAGTTTGGGAGGAAACTCAAACAGTAATCTTTCGCCCACGTTGCCCACCCCAACCACTGTTCATTTTTATCTAAACGGTGCAAAATTCTTGGGAATGACATTTACCCACAATTTTTGCACTCCCTACATTTCCCCTCCTTCCCAAACAAAGCCAAAAAGTTATTTTGGGGAGACAAAAAAAACTGATAATAGAGTGTTAATCAAAGTTTAATAAAGCAAAGCATACGATTAAATATTGTATTTATGAAATGTAAGGACTAATCCACGACTGAGCTAGGAGAATAGGACTCTCAAAGCTACAATCTTACTATCGTCTTGGTTATCTACTTGTCGGCTGATTATAGTGATCAATATATACAACGTGAACCCTAGCTACTAGCTACTAAAACTGTAGACTACTTAATGTAGCTATTAGGGATGACTGATTTACCCATGCCCATTGGGTTGTAAATATCCAACCCAAGTGACCCAGCAGCGACCCAGCAACTCGTCGCCCTCCGACCAGCACAGCAGCTTGAAGCAGCCGAACCTTGAAAAAAGGAGGGGAGCAGCAGCTGGGTAAGTTATTTAGGTTATTAGTCATTAGTTTTAGTTTAATGGTGGAATGTGATTACTTAGAATAGTGGAAAGATGGTGGAGATGATAATTTGCAGTAGCACCTTAGTTTTGGTAATAAATTTACAATGCTATTATGGTGGATGCGGCGGAAAGGTGTGAGCATGTGAGTGGACACGAAGGTACAAGTACGAGCAATGTCGGAGGGAGTGATGTGTTTGGTTCGAGGAGTGGAACGAATCAAGGAGGTGGATCTAATGCTTCATTTGTTTCTCTTGAACCTGATGAGTAGAAATGGTTTAGTGAATTTGTTAGATTGGAGTGAATTTGGTGTTTGATGTCTAAACTTTGGTTGTGGACTTGTGATGCACTTTATTTTTATTTTGAAGTTTGTATTGGACTTTGAGTTTGTAATAGACATCAATGATGGTTGTGATTTTGTATTGGACCATGTTTGGCTTGATTTTTGCTACAAACAGGTTGTCTATATTCCAGGAAAATGGGTATATGCTGCTGAATTTTCTGCAACATGGTCAAAATGGGTCAAAACTTGTCAAAATCGGATTGGGACCGGACTGGGTCAAAACCGGACTGTACCCAATCCAAGTTTTGGTCCCTATATTTTCAAAAAGACCGGACTGGACCGGATCAATTCGGGCCAATTTAACCGGACCGGACCGTATAGCCACCCCTAACTACCACGAGTTTTGTATTGGGACTAAGTTTCATCCACTTTAGTGTTTTTTCTTTCTTTTTTTTCTTTTTGTTGAACATGATCACAATTGAATCCAAATACATGAGTATCCTAACTTGAACACAAACCATCAACTTTGCCCACCTTTCTGCAGCCCATCTCGAAATACTATCGGCGGAATCCTAAATTATTCCCCACCATCGTTTCCCAAGTCCGCTACCACGAGTTTTGTATCGGGACCGAGTTTCATCCTCTTTAGTGTTTTTTTCTTCTCTTTTTCCTTTTTGTTGAGCATGATCACAATTAAACTCAATGCTGCTACCAAAAATTCATACCTTATCAACTCAATATTGGCGAGTTTTGTATTGGGACTGAGTTTCGTTCCCTTTAGTGTTTTTTTCTTTCACCTTTTCCTTTTTGTTGGGGTCTTGAGCGAGTTTTATCCGCTTTAGTATTTTTTTTATTCTTTTCCTTTTGGTTGAGAATGACAATTGAGTCCAAACGCATGGGTATATAACCTAATTCGACCCGACCAAGGTGATTTGTACCCGATTTTACAGGTTTATAGCGGGAGCGAGTTTTATCTGTTTTTGTAATTGGCGTGTTGTGTCAATTGTGAATTTTTCCAAAACTCGGTCAAAGCGAGTTGAACCTGGTGTTGACGAGTTTTGAGTCGGTAGCGATTTTGAGCTTTAGTATTTTTCATTTTGCTTTTACCTTTTGTTTGAGAAAGACAATTGATCCCAAATCCATGGGTATCCAACCTAATTTGAAAAGAACCAGAGAAGCTGCTTCATTCTGCAAAAGTTATAGCAGGATCAACTACTAGCCATACAAATTGAAACATTAGCCTCATGAAAGAAGTTTAAACATAAATAATCTATCCGATGACCCTTCTACCTTAAGCAAGTTCATCGACCATATGCTATTGTAAATAACAAATCTATAAAAAGAAGGATTAAGAATGAAATATAATTACTTTAACTTTTAGGTCAACATTAAAACTATTACTATTTAAAATATTTATTTTTCTGAAACATAAAGCGATAGCAAGTGGGCTTTTGCTAGTCATTCATAAATAAAAAAACATTGGAGATGCTAGTTGTCGTTCTCCGTCTGTTGGACTGCGTCGTGGTGTTGATTAGGACAACTAGATAAGAATTCGGATTTCAGACGACGCCGGCCGGCCATCATTTACCCGGCCAGAACCTTATAAAGTAGCCTCGATCAAATCCCCTGCCATCACAACCCGTGGCCATTTTTACATTCATTCTTCCCTTCCCTACCATCCTCGAAATAGTCACCTCTCAATCACCAGACGATGGATCGAATCAGTCGAGTACCAATAAAAGTTGCGTCCATGGAACTAATCAAGCCATCTTCCCCAACACCAGACCATCTCCGCCACCACCAGCTCTCCTCCATCGACCAACTCTCTTCGTCACTCTTCATGCCTCTGGTCCTCTTCTTCACATCAGATCCGAAAACCACAAACACCCAAAGATGCAACCTTCTCAAGCAATCCCTGGCTCAAACTCTGGCCCATTTCCACATGTTGGCAGGCCGCGTCAGGGACAATACGTTCATCGACTGTAACGACGAGGGCGTCCATTTCGTGGAAGCTCATCATATCCACACCACGACGATGGCAGAGTTCCTGCAGGATCCGAGTCCAAGTGATCTCAACCAGCTCCTCGCTTTCGAGCCTCAAGATGCCAACGACTTGCTTGCAGCTTTCCAATCCACGTATTTCGATTGCGGAGGAATGGCCGTATCATTTCAGATGTCGCACAAAGTTGCAGACGGACAATCAAGTTTCATATTCCTGAAAACCTGGGCTTCAATTGCTCGTGATGGGGATATTATTCAACATGACAACAACAACGACAAGAACAATTCCACTCTACTCAATCTCGCCGCGATTTTCCCGCCAGTGGATAACATCCCTCTTGGCCATGGATCCATAGCTCGATTCGCTCCTTCTGGTGCCGTCGTATCCAAGAGATTCGTGTTCGGTTCCTCCGACATAGAAGAGCTCAAGACAAGGTATACAGAGGAGTCGCTGAAGCCGACCAGAATCGAGGCTTTGTCGGCTTTCATATGGACCAGGTACGTTGAGAGCACTGGACAAACCATGAAACAGAAGAAGAAGAAGAAGAAGAAGAAGAAGAAGAAGAAGAGTTTCAAATTGATTCACCCAGTGAATTTGAGGCCCAAGATGAATCCTCCCATCCCCGAGGATTGCTTTGGGAACCTGTTTACGGTGGCTACAACGACGCCGGATGGGGAAAATCGGGATGGGTGTTATGGGATTTTGAGGAAGATGAGGGAAAGTGTGAGGGCCGTGGATGGCGACACAGTGAAGCTGCAGGGTCGTGGGTCGTTAGTGAGCTCGATGAAGGAGAAGGAAATGAAGGGAGATGAGGTGGAATGGGTGCCGTTTGTGTTCACCAGTTTGAGCAGAGTGCCTCTGTATGAAGTGGATTTCGGGTGGGGGAAGCCGGCGTGGGTCGGGTTGGCTGGGTCCAACTTTGGCAATATTGTGGTGTTTGTAGACACTAGGGAAGGTGGTGGGATAGAGGCATGGGTGCACTTGAAGGAGGAAGACATGGCTAAGTTTCAGGTGGATGAACAGATTCTTGCCCATGTGTCACCAACAGCTCTCAACCTGTAGGATCGATCTAAGAGAAGTGCCATGGTGATGTAGTTTTTGTTTTTTCTTGTTGCAAGGAAGAATCACTTGTATTTTGGTGATGGTGGTCAAGGGGTGGGCACGTGGTTGGTTAATCCGCGAATTGATAACGATTCACCCGCATATTATCCGATCCGCATGCAGAGGCTGATTGATGTGGGTGGATTGCGAATTGTTAAATCTCCCACTCGTACTTAGGTGGGTGGATTGTGGTTCACCTGTATAACCCGCGCCCTATTTTTACATGGATAAATGTTGTTTATTATAGTATCGAATATTCATCATATTTTAGAATTGTACTACAGTCTGACCATTAGAATAATTAAGCTGTAAGTAACCCCAAAAAAAATTATTGTTCCTTACGATATTTCCGGGTTACTGTTCACGGATTTGTTTTAAATTATTTAAATATTAGAATAATTAAGCCGTAAGTAAATCAAAAAAATTAATATTGCTTACGATATTTCCGGGTTATTGTTCACGGATTTGTTTTAAATTATTTAAATATAACTAATGGAATTTTCTGCTATCGCAGCCCTTAGGGTGTACCTGTATTTACCGCTAGCACGGTGCACCTCTGTCACCCCTGTTTTAGCATTCGTTGATTTTCTTGGTGGCTGGCCGAGTTTGGCACGGAGGCCGCCGTTGATTCTTCTCTCCCTTCACGGGTTGATTCTCATAGCCTCCCTTGACGATCCACTGTGTTTCCTTTTAGCCTTGGTCGATTTACTTGGCAGTTTACCGATTTAACCCTAGAGGCCGCCATTGATTCTTCTCTCCCTTGAGGTCGATTGATTCCGACAGCCTCCTTTGACGATCCACTTTCTTTCCTTTTCTTCAACTCTGTTGATTGGATGGAGTCTGGATGAGTTAAGATCTTCCTTCTCTCTGATCTCGCCGAGTTCTCTCTTCCACGATGTATTCCGTGTTGTTCTGTTGCGATCCGATCGGTGGCTATGCGAGTTTGGTTCCCCATCCCTTAATATTGGAAGCTATCGGTGTTCAAGTGAAGCTGCTTAGCAACATGCAAACTCTTCTTCTGGCACATCAGACTCAAAGTAAGGGGACAGCTAGGAATAAGATTAAGAAGTTTTCAAAAACAGAGATGGTAGAAAATAAGAATCCAGCTCCTTGAAAGGCAGAGATGGCAGAAAAGCTTTTGCATCCCCTCCAGCTCTGCAATTGTGCTTGAAACCCTCCATTGATGCCCAAAGTTACACATGCAAAGAAGGAAAAAGTACGATGACTGACCTTTGTGAATGTCGATTTTTGAAATTCCTTCTATTGATCCACTTGACCGGGAGTGATAGCTAGCAAGCTAGCTGAAAGGGGAATACTCAGATTTTGGCTGAAAGTGGCGAGAAGCTATTCCCTCTGCCCCAACCATTCACCTTATTATTCTCTTTCTGGGTATCTAATGCAAGAGCGGGTAGGTGGGGTTATTAGACTGATAGAGAGAAGGCGAATGAGCTGGAGTCGAGAAATACAAGAAAAGTCAAGAAGTTGAGGTGTATTTGTTGCCTGTAAATAAGATGCCACGTGTATAAGAAAAAAAATTGTGCATGCTACTAACTAAGTGCACTTGGTGACTTGGTTCTGTTACCCACTCCTGCATTCTTCTCTTCTTAATTAGTTAATCTGTCCTTCATCAAGTTAGTTGCCTCCCAATTCCACCATCTTGCTTCCGTAATTTGCTCTCATTGTCATTACTTGATGAATATGTGTGACTCTTCCTCCTAGGGATGACAATGGGTCGGGTTGGGGGCGGATAGTGCATATCCGTTCGTTACCCTACTCAAAGTAGTTCGGGGTTTACCCATACCCATACCCACATAAGAAACGGGTAGAAAATTCAAACCATGCTCATACCCGTTCGGTTTTCAAATATCCACGGTTATCCATGAATAGTAATTTCTTTTTATAACTCCAACTAATATGTTAACATTCACACATATATTCACAATGCACAAAGGAAACATACGATAATAAATCACTAGAATGAAGAAAATTAATTAAAACAATAAAATTTCATGAAAATATTATATTTGTATGCTAAATATAAAATATGTTATTGAAAAATAATGATTATTTGTAGAGAAAATACATATGCATATGTATAATCGGGCGGGTTCGGGTTGGATAATAAGAAAACCATGCCCACCCATTACCCGCAATATTCGGGTTCGGGTTTTACCCGTACCCACTAAAAGTTCTTCGGTTTCGGATTTTACCCTAATGGATTAGATCGGATTCGGGTAGATATCCACGGTTACGGATATTTTGCCATCCCTACTTCCTCCCAAGATTGGTCTCAGCTAGGAAATTTTGACATAATTGGTGATTGGAAGTCGAATGGGGATTGGTAATTTAGTATAGAAGAGGGCATGCCAGGAATATTTATGAGATTTAACTTAAATTCTGTATGAACTATAATCAATTTAAATGGTTAGAAGTTCATCGAATAATTGAAGTGATATGACTATAGTGCACGATTAACCAACACAATAATAATAGGTGATACAATATTATGAACACTACTTATAATCGTACTTTCTTAACTTTTGCGTTGACATAATCATATTAGGTTCATTTCGTCAACCATATATCTATATGAAATTTATTTTGTATGTTTGTAATGCTCCAATCAACCTTACACAAACTGGTTTTCGATCAAAGGGTTTAGCATTTAACTTCCAGTAACTCCTAACATTAATGCTTGGATTTGAGCATGTTGTAAGATGAGTCTATAATGCAACTTCCAACTCAACAAATATATTAATTGAGATCCATATGTACGCAATTTTATATTGTTCCAACAACTTGCTTTTTGTTACTCAATATTCAAATTACTCTTTTAATTTTTCTCATCTTGACATAAGCACGATCGATATTTTTTAGGATGAAATCATTAATGAATTTAGTTTGTGCTTATGTCATAGAACTTTGTATCTCCTTTCCAGGTTTGTTAGAAAAATCAATGTTTAGGTCATTAATTAATAAGATTTTGGTATTTTACTATAAAATTTATTCCAAAAAGTTTTCCGCCGCAAAGCGCAGGCCAATTAACTAGTATACTTTAAATGTGGAGAATAAAGAATAGTTTTGACTATTATTGGTTATTCTGTTGTGCAATAGCAATATTCATTTGATATTGGTATGCAAATTATTGTAAATATCCATTAAATATTGGGATACAAACTATAAATTATTTGTTGTATCAAAATCATAAATTATTGATACAATCTTACTAATTTGCTACGAACTTATTATAAATGTTAGTCAATTTTCTTAATGCATGTCTAGTTGGAGAATTGCTTTTGCAGGTTAACACGCGACCCAACTGCACTCATCCGCCATCCACCGAACCCAACCCGCATAAGTATGTGGGTGGATTGCGGGTCACATATATTCCAACCCGCTAGTAAGCGGGTGGGTCAATTTTAGACCAAAATCCACCCAACCCGCCCATTGCCCACCCCTAAGGCTAACTCCAACCCATAAAGGGGAATTTAGCTCCCCAAATGGCCAAATATGGCTTTTTAGCTCCCCAAACCCACTTTTCACTCCAACCCTATAAAAACCTAAATTTAGCTTCCCATTTCCCTTTTTCAATTTATTTCAATAAACCATACTTATTTGACCTCTAATTTTTATATTTCACTTTAATTTTTTCATAGCTCGTTATTAGTTTTGAATACAAATTTTTCGATGTAATTTTTTTTTAATTCTGAGATAATTTTTTTTCAAAAATTAGTCGTTAAAATATTACCGTTAAAACTTCGGGACCACTCCAAATATGACCGTTTTTTTGTATCCGTTACTTTACGACCGTTTTTTTGTCTTTTTTTGCACCAAATGTCTTTATAAATGACAGTTCTTCATTTTCATCAACTCAACTAAAACTTCTTCCCATTTCTAAAATAAACACATTCATCATGAGTATCTCAGATAGCTCATCGTCTGGAGAAGAAGAAAACGAAGAGTACGAAAGGTTTCACCACCTACGTTTGAGTTTGATCGGTCGGAGGCTGGCTGAAGATGCATCAAGTCGCCGTCAAACTACAAGCCGACGTCACATTGATCGTGAGAGGGTCGAATGTATTTCGACGTCTTATGAGGGATTACTTCGATCCAAATCTAGTATACAATGCTCGCATATTCAGAAGGCGCTATCGGATGCAGCCAAGATTATTCCATCGCATTATGGGCGACATTGTGAGGTTTGACCCCTCATTTGCTCTAAGGCGTGATAGCTTTGGTCAATTGTCACTATCTCCAGAGCAGAAGCTTACTGGTGCGATGCGCATGCTAGCATATGGTTCTCCAGCGGATCAACTTGATGAGTATGTTCGTATGGGTGAGAGCACCTTTATGGAGTTCTTCAGAAAGTTTTGCAACAACATTATCAACATGTACGGTGCCACATACCTTCGCGCACCTACTCCTGCTGATTTAAGGATCTTACTCCGTAAAGCCTCAAGTCGTGGCTTTCCTGGAATGATTGGATCAATTGACTGCATGCATTGGGATTGGAGGAATTGTCCAAGTGGTTGGGCAGGACAATACACCGGCCACATGCATAGGCCAACAATCATTTTGGAGGTGGTGGCCTCCTACAACACATGGATATGGCATGCTTTCTTTGGGACACTTGGATCGAACAACGATATAAATGTTTTGGGGATGTCTCCAGTGTTTGATCGTATCGTCAATGGAAGCGCTCCACATGTACGATTTGAGGTAAATGGTCATGCTTATGATCAATGTTATTATTTGGCTGACGGTATTTATCCCTCATGGTCGACTTTAGTGAAGACCTTCAACAATCCAAGGTCAAACAAAGAGGCTTTGTTTGCTCAACATCAAGAAGCACACCGCAAAGATGTAGAGCGGGCATTTGGAATCATCCAAACAAGATGGGCAATTGTTCGTGGCCCTGCAAGAGCTTGGGATGTTGTCACGCTTAACAATATAATGCTGACGTGCATTGTATTACACAACATGATAATCGAGGATGAGCAAGTTGATTCTGATGACGAGATGGATGATGACCTTGATTATGAGGTCCATGCACAACCTTAACCAATCAACCGACACCAATCAACTCTAATTGATTACTTGGCTAGAAATAACAGGCTTCGCTCATCTATAACACATCATGCGCTTAGAAATGACTTGGTTGAGCATCTTTGGAATTTGCACGGCAATATCTAGCATTGTTTTACTTCATGTTGCTTGGTTGTTTGTATTTCAAGTTTCAGTGTGTGATTGTATTTCATGTTGCTTGGTTGTTTGTATTTCAAGTTTCAGTGTGTGATTGTGTTTCATGTTGCTTGGTTGCTTGTATTTCAAACTTTCAATAACACTTGTTTTTATTACACATGGAATTGCTCAAAGTTCAAAGAGTACACATGACACATGAAAATAACAAAGTTGAAAGAGAACACACAACACATTAAAGATGTAAAGACAATAGAGTACAAATAGGATCTTCTTCTAATTAATAATCCATGATAGGAAGTAATCGCCATCTCCTCCACCACTTTCATCGCCATCTCCTCCACCACTTGCATCGCCATCTCCATCTCCGTCATCACTTGGATAAGAGTTGGGATCATTTTGATCGTACCCATAAATGTCATTTTGTTTACGCCTCCAAAATCTCTTCTTTCTTGGTGTCATCTTTGACAAATCCTTCTCCATAATAGCTACATTTTGTTGAAGTATTGCAGCTTCCCTCTCTTTCTTCTCCACATCCCACTTTTCCAATTCACGTTCCCTCACTTGCCTCTTGTATGCCCATTCCTCTTTCTCCTGCTCTAGTCTCCTCTCTTGAACATTCATTTTTATGTTTTCGTACTCCATCCTCGACTTTTGCCTCTCTCTCATATCATTACCAAACTCTAGCAGTTTAGTAGTGTATATGTCTGACAATTCAGCAACTACCTTACCTTTCTTCTTTGCTGCCTTTTGTTTGTCGCGTCCTTCAGGGCGAATCAACACGAAAGGCGTAGCTCCTTCATCTGGTAAGTCATCAAGGCCTTCCACGGGATTTGATTGAGAACCAAAACCTGTGGGAGAACTTTGGGAACCTTGCCCCATAGGTGGAATGGGACTAACAAGCAGGTCAGGATTGCAGTACCATTTTGGACAATTTCGAAGAATGTCGAAACAATGCTCAAAATCAAAAGCCTTGTTCCCATTCTCTTGCTTATATATTGCTCTTGCCTCCTTTTCCTAATAAAATAATTAGTACATGGGTTAGAGAAGTTTTTATTGACACATAAAAAATAATAAAATACACAAGTTGAGGGTCCAAAAGAATACCACATCAAACTGGTTCGTGCCACTCAATTGATGCCTTTGTGATCTTTGCAACACTCTCTTCCAAGCATTGCAGTCATAGCAAATAATCCTCATTCGGGATTCCATTGCAATAGCAGTACGAGTTGTAGTAGGATCCCATTTTTTATGTTCTACCGCCACTCTGTCCCACAACCTTGTAGACTTCTGGTTGGTGCCAACCGCTCCATCTTCTGATATCGACACCCAAGCTCTGCACAAGATTTCATCTTCATTCGTACGCCAATTAGGTCCTCTCTTGCCTGTCGTATTTCTATTTTGAGAGACGATAACAATTGAATTTTGAGAGAATGCGATTTATGCTCTGAGAATAAGTGAAGAGAAATCTATGAAGAGTGCTGTAATATATAAGAAAAAATATGGCCGTTAAAATATGACCATTTTTTATGGCCGTTAAAATATGACCATTTTTTCTTCACTACATCAATTATTTCAAATTTATATTTCAAATTGAATCACAAACAACCAATGAGAATAGAAAAAAAAATCCAAAAAAAATTCCCAACCAAAAAAGTTAAAAGAAAAAAAAGGGGCCCAGCACGTCAACTAGCCGAGAAGGGCGCAGGGCGCGCGTGCGCCCCAGCCGGGCGTCCTGCTCCCTTCTCGGCCAGCTGACGTGCTGGCCTCTTTTTGGCAGCCAAATTTCCCTCCCCACCCCAAAACCCATCCAAATATCCCTTCCAAAAACCCAATACCCATTTTTTGCTTCCCATTTTTTTTGGGTTGGAAGAAGAAAAAAAGCCAAATATGGCTTTATAGCATTTTGACACCATGGATTGGAACTAGTCTAAGCATGATGGTAATGGGCATAGTAATTTTAAGGATTAATAGTATAAATTGTCCTCTTTATGAATTTTTTTTTTCAAACCTTATCCTCTTACTATTTTCTTGGTATTAAATCTGCCATCCTGTAAACTAACAAGTAATTTGATTGATAAATTCCAAAACTTTCAAAGTAATTTTCTTGTCAGATGTCCCACCTCAGTGTGACTGTTGCTCTTCATCATCTTCGAAATCTCTACTTATCGAGTCCTTGGCAAGGCGATAGAACTCATCCAAGGCCTTGCCCAGTCGGTCATTGGTCTCCTTCATCAGCCGCCGACGAAGCTCGGACCTCTCAGCCTGCAATCTCACCCTCTCGACCTCTGCTCTCGCGCGCTCTAAGGCAGCCTGGTCTTGCTCCCGGCCGATCCTCTCTTGCCGCAGAGCGGCCCACGCCTGGTCTAGCTCTCGGCCGAGATAATTGACTTCGCTCTGGAGCCGGCCCTGCGACTCTCGATACTCCGCCTGCATGATTGAGTGTCGGCCCTCCTGCGCCATCCTTAACTGGTCGTGCCTGCTTCCCTTGTCAGTCTTCTTCCTGGCGCTGACAATGAAAAGGAAAGTCAGGGAGGGACGGAGCACCAGGCGGAAATGGCGCTAGCTAGAAGCTGTTTAAAGGACTTGGTCGTTAGGAGAGAACGTAGCAATGTAATTTGTAGCAGAGGAAATTAAGGAAGACTGGAAAGGTCAATCGATCCATCTTCTTCAAAGCAGGGAAATGAAACGTTTCGGAAGTAGTGGGGCGGGAATCGGGTCCGGTCAATTTGGACCGAAAACCAAGGTTCTGATATATTTACATATTGGTACAAAGTTTGTATGTCACTTGGATCTATGAATCAATCTCTCAACACATATGACATATGATCCCATCCAGAATCGAACAATCCATCTATTTAAATTTTTACAATTGTTATGTTTTAATATAAACTATATGAGTGTATTAATACACATATTTATAGTAGTACAGAGAAAATGTTATATTGTTCGTGTGATAGAATACCAAAGAGGGTTTTCTTTTGGTTTCTTGTACTTTGTGCATTAAAATTAATAAATATATTCTACAAAATGATTTCTACTGTGCTATATTTTAGAGAGAGAAAAAAGAACGTACATGAAGGTGTCTTATATCATGGGTATGAAAAAAGTATCATGTTGGTATGCATGATTGGAAAATTTTAACCAAATTATATAAATGAATATCATTTTGTACATAATGGTTAGCTGATTTTTATATACAAAATAGATGAAATTCTACTTAAACTAAACAAGCTACAATCAATATGATAGAATTTTTTTATTGAACAAATTATTTGAATTTTAACCATACAATATGTCTAATCTTAAAAATTGTTTATTAAGGGGACATATTTTTTGGGTTATGCATATGAGTCAATACAAAGAAATTATTTATGTCAAAAAATAAAAAGTAAATAAGAGAGTTTAGGATTAGGAAAAGAAAGTAAAGACACTTTGTGTGGAAGTTAGTGGAAATACTAAAATACAAAAATGATTTACATTAGAGAAACTTTAATTATACCATTTTTAATAAGCAAGACATGTCGAGTTCGTTTTGTTGATACATATATAGTTCGGTTTCATGTGACTTCTTTTAACCAATGACGCTTTCACCCGGATCAAAATAATTTGGTTACAAAATATGCAAAGAAATTCACGACCATCACAAACTTTCTTACATAAATGGAATTATTGTGCATCATGGTGCCACATGAATGAACTATATGACTATATTTTAGTAATATTACTCTAAGTATATTTTAGTGTACTTTATTATGTAAGTATCTTGCAAACAGGTCCTCCAAGTTACTCTAATCATGTCTTTCTCTCAACCAATGCAATCAAAAGTTAGATTTGAAGTATTAAATCTAGGCTTTTACCCTTTTGAGTATCCACATCAATAAAATTGCAAAACTAATTTCATATTATTTTTATATTTTCATTTCAAACTTTATGCAATCCAACTCACTTTTATTTGATTGCTCCAACATCAATGCAATTCACTTGCAATTGCATATATGAGAGTTTAAATAACTTTATAATTATAAAATAAATAAATGAAGAGAGAGAAAAATATTTTAATTTTTTATGTGAATTTTACATTTCATTTAATTCAAGCTTGCGTATTTGCAATTGCCCACTACATTGGTGCAATCCCTTTTACAATTGCATATTGAGTGTCATGTATGATTTGCAATTGAGCAAATACTATTGATGTGGGTGCTCTTAGACCCCCAACTGTTGTAGCTTTTGTTCCAAAAGTGTGTTGCGTCAAAACCCCAAGTAAAAGAGTTCAAAAAAGATTTTTTTTTTATAATGGTGAATTATATTGAAAGGAGAAGGGGAACAGCGTACAAAAGAGAAGGGTTTCCGGGCCCGACAGTCACAAGAAGTGACTAGAAGTGGTCCAGGGAACCGAAGGAAAATAAAAGAAAGAAAGAAAACAGAGGGCCACAAAGAGCTGGAAAACCAGCGACCAAAAAACGGAACAGAGGGACAGAAGCCAGAGCCCGAAAAAAGTCCAGACCCGAAGAAGTTAATTTTTAAACCACTATTTTTGTGCTTTAGATATATGGATTTTTGACCAAATTGGGTTGAGTTTGGATCGGTTTTGTTGTACAAGAAACAAAGAAAATGACGCCTTTTTTTAAGTCCGTTTAGATATATCCTTTTGGCCTTTTATTCTACAAATCTCTAATTCATCTTTGCTTCTCCTCTCCTTTCTACCTCTAAACCCAGACCATGCAACGTCGAGCATATAACAGTCAGGGTCCTCTCCGAAGGCTCGCTGCAATTAGTGATGACAATGAGGCGGGATGGAGTGGGTACCTCAACACCCTTGCTTGCCCCTACTAAGCACTGGTCAGGTCGGGTAATACCCATGCTAGTATGGGGCGGGTCAACCCCTCCTTATATAATATTTAAAGAAAAAATGACGTATTTAACTCTTTTACAAAAGGACGGTAAGAAAACACTTCATAAAAATGAACAATAGTTATAGTAAAAAGTATAAAAAAAATAGTTATAGTAAAACGAGTAATTTAGCCTAAATAATTGAAAGTGAGAGTTTTACAATTTATTTGAGATGAAAGTATTATTTTAGAAAAGTCAAAATAGAATAATTACAGATAAATATTAATGAAATTCATAATAAAATGAGTCAATAACGGGATTGGGCATGGCAGGACAGATCATAAATAGTATTCATGTCTCGTTTCACGCTGCTACTATGTACTAGTCAGGTAATGCCCGCCCAAATACCTGCAACGCCTCGTTTTTTTTTTTTTTTTTTTTTTCAGCCTCCCACTCGACGACACCCTTTAAGTGGTTAGTGAAACCTGTGGATAGCCTTCTAGCTTTGAGTTGACTGCAATCAACTCCAAATCTGCTGAGGAATTGCAATCGTTACATGCAATTAGCTTTATCAACAGCCAATCGTTTTCCTATATAAGGCAGAAGAAAAAACCAAACTTGGATCCTATGTAGTCTTGTAAAAAGCTAAGCCTTGGTTGCTCCAAAACTCTAGCACTAACTAAGTATAAAATACATAATCAAACCTCTCCCAACAAATCGAATTATTGGGATCAACTGGTTCTTAATAATATACTACGTAGTTTTGAAAAAGTCTAAACCAAAACTAATTCTAGCGAGAAAATCTGGAAGCCCTAGATTATTAGCTAGTTTGTAAGATGGATTCGATTGTTTCCATTTGCCTTTGAGTTGTGATTGCCGCCATACAAAACGACACGAGCAAACCATCCAAATTAAAGGCCATCGTTTATGACATCCGATCGATCATAAGCTTCCATCTGACGCGCGCGACAGCATTTGCCGTTCCCGCTGAATCTCGGAGACACAAGGGAAACGGTATCAGCTGGTATCAATTGGACTACTTCGTCCCTTTATAAGTATAGTCGAAGTCCAATTAGCTAGTCACTTGTCAAAAACAAGACATCAATAATATGGCTCGAATCAAACGAGTTCCACTCAAATCTGTATCCATGGAACTAATCAAGCCATCTTCACCAACACCACACAAACTCCGCCGCTACCCGCTCTCCTCCCTCGACCAACTCTCCCCCTCCGTCGCCATGCCTGTAGTCCTCTTCTTCACCAACAACAACTACACTACCAATACCCAAAGGTGCAACCTCCTCAAGCAATCCCTGTCCCGAACTCTGACCCATTTCTACCCTATGGCAGGGCGCCTCAGGGACAACCTCTTCATCGACTGCAGCGACGAGGGCGTCCCTTTCCTCGAAGCCCGAATCGACAACGACACCTCGATGTCAGAGTTTCTCCAGGATCCCAGTCCTGGCCACCTCAACGATTTCCTTCCTCTCAAAGTCGAAGAAGCCAACGACTTGCTCGCAGCTTTCCAAGCCACATATTTCAACTGTGGAGGAATGGCACTCACATTCCAGATGTCACACAAACTCGGAGATGGACTGTCCATCTTCTTTTTCCTCACAGCGTGGGCTTCAATTGCTCGTGATTCGTCCAGTACTACAACTTTTCCTGAATTCAATTTCGCGGAGATTTTCCCTCCCATCAACCTCCCTGTTGGATCTGGATCCGTAGCTCGGCCTGCTCCTTATAACAAGGTTACAGCGAAGAGGTTTGTTTTCAGCGCCAGCACGATAGCACACCTCAAAACAAGGTACGCAGAGGAGTCACTTAGGCCGACAAGATTGGAGGCACTGTCAGCTTTCATATCGACCAGGTTACTGAAGATCAGTAATAAAGAAAATAATAATGACGACGACCAGGACAAAAACAAGAACAAGAAGAAGAAGATTTTCACTGTCTCTCACTCAGTGAACTTGAGGTCGAAGATGGACCCACCTCTCCCCGAAAATGCTTTCGGGAACCTCTTCACATCGTGTATAGCTGTCACCGATTTGGACAACCAGCAGCAGATTTTGAGGAAGATGAGGGAAGGGACGAGGGCTGTGGATGGAGACGCGGTGAGGATGCAGCTGCAGCAAGGCGGTCGTGGGTCCGTGGTGAGTTCTCTGAAGGAGAAGGAGGTGAAAGGGGAGGTGCAGTGGGTGCCGTTTGTGTTCACCAGCCTGTGCAGGATGCCCCTCTACGACGTTGATTTCGGATGGGGGAAGCCCCTGTGGTTCGGCGTATCGGCCGAGTCGAGTTTCGTCAATGTGGTGACTTTCGTGGACAGGAAGGAAGGTGGCGGGATAGAGGCGTGGGTGAACCTGAAGGAGGAAGACATGGCTGAGTTTGAGGCGGACGAAGAAATAGTTGCCCTTGTTTCTCCAACTGCGCTCAACCTTTAGGATGTACTTGAAGTGATGTCGTTTGTTAGTTTCATGATTTCGTGCAATGCAAGCAAGCGTGTATCGGTAAAATAAAATAAATATTTTAAAGAGTAATTGTCGTAATGTTGAACCAAAATTTAAAATAATTTTATTTCATTCTTAATTATTCTTTTCATAGGTTTGTTATTTACAATAATATATGGTCGATGGATTTACATAAGGTAGAAGTTTCGTCGAATAGATTATTTATGTTTAAACTTCTTTCACGACACTATTGTTTCAATTTTTATGGCTAGTGGTTAATACTTTTGTTAATTTTGCAGGATGAAGCAGCTTCTCTAGATCTTTTCAAGAAGTATTAAAAAAAACAACTAATGAGTGTTAAAACTGAAAAACCATCAGAATCCTAATATAAAAGGTAATGTAAAATGACTAAAAAAGATTTCAAACATAAAATATGAATACAAATTAAAAAAAAATTATCATGGTGAAAACTTCCATTAAAGAAAATCCAAAAAATAGAGTCAATAAACAGAGACAGAACAGGGATCAAGAGGAATGATCTCAACCACACCCAGCACAACAAAAACGAAAAGGAAGGAAGAGAAAAGGAAAAAACCAGCAACCCAAGGAAGAACCCGATTCTCCCAGCACAAGTTGGACTAAACTACCATTGTGAGTACCAAACAGAAAACTAAAAACCCCTACACAAGCCAACAACAAGCATCCCTGTTCCTGATTACTTGTTGTAGGTTGATTGTCTTGCGTTTGGTTTTGAATATAAATTAAATATTACTATTGAATAAAAAAGATTTCAAAAAATAAAAAAGTATTCAAAAAATATCACGTAAGATTTATACATATTAAATAATAATATTTTTCAATTTATTTTTTATAATGTTATAAATGAAATAAAACTATATTTTCTAGAAAAAGAATATTATATTTTAAGGACAGTTTTCTATTTCCAAATTGGAGGTTCTGCTTTTAAATTACGAAAGACTTTAATTTTTTAGAAAGAGAAACTTTAGAGGTGTTTGGCTTCGATTCAATTTTTGAAACATAATACTTCTAAAATTCGGACCAAAAATAGTTATACTCTCTTGGTTTTATTTTTTTATTTTTTTGGTTTGAGGTAATCGTGGTTCGCCTTTATGAAAATTTGGACTGATTGCAGATTTAAAAAGGTTCAACTCGCATTGATCGGGTCAAATTAGGTTGGATACCCATGCATTTGGGTTCAATTATCTTTCTCAAACAAAAGAAAAAAAGTGAAATGAAAAACACTAAAGCTAAAACTCGCTACCGACTCAAAACTCGTCAATACCAGGTTCAACTTGATTTTGACCTAGCTGAACCGAGTTTTGGGCAAATTCACACCTAACACAACCCGTCTATTACAAAAATAGATAAAACTCGCTCCCGCCGAAAACTTGTAAAACCGGGTTTAAGTTGCTTGGTTGGGTCAAATGAGGTTGTAGACCCATGCGTTTGGGTCGAATGAGGTTGTATACCCATGCGGTTGGGTCGAATGAGGTTGTATACCCATGCGTTTGGTCGCGTCCATGGCAAATGGTGGAAGTGGACAACTCAGGATTCCACCGACAGTGTTTCGAATTGGATAAAAAAAGAGAAATTAACAAACACTAAAGCGGATAAAACATGCTCACGATCCAAAACTCGGCAACATCATTTTCAACTTTCTTTGATCGGGTTGAACCTAGTTTGTAACAAATTCACAACCGACCCAACCCATCAATTACAAAAGAAAATAAAACTCACATCCGTCTGAAAACTTGTAAACACCGGGTTCAAGTTGTTTTGATAAGGTTTAATAGGTAGGATACCTGTATTTTTGGGTGCTCAACCAAAAATAAAAAGATAAACAAAAAATACTAAAGCGGATAAAACTTGTTCCCTACCAAAAACTCTGCACACCTAGCTCAAATCGCCTTGACTGGTTGGTACCGAGATTTTAACAATTCACACTCGGCTCAACATGTCAATTCCAAAAGCAGATAAAATGCACTATCGATACAAAACTCGTTAGCGCAACATCTGGTTTCAATTGTCATTCTCAACCAAAAGGGAAAAAAGAAATAAATAAATATTAAAGCAAACAAACATAACTCTCTGTCTAAAACTCATCAACACCGTGTTAAACTCGCTTTGACACGATAGAATCGAGTTCTTAACAAATTCACACTCGACTCAACCTGCAAACTACAAAAGCGGCTAAAACTCGCTCTGATAAAGACTCGTCTATACCATGGATTTGATTTAGATTTTCATTCTTAACAAAAGAAGAAGAAAAAATTAGAATTTAAAAATATTAATTTCGGGTTCAACATGCTTTGACCTAGTCGAATTAAGTTGGATACCCATGAGTTTGAGTTTAATTGTCATGCTTAACCAAAAGGAAAAAGAGAAATAAGAAAACACTAAAGCATATGAAACTCGATCTTGATACAAAACTTGGCAACACAGAGCAGATTTAGTATTAATTTTTTATAGTAGTCTTGGGACACGGTGGATGGGTACAAATTAGGATTTCACCAACAATTTTTTGAGAAGGGTTGTGAATTAGTGGACGAAGTAGAGAATTGTGCATAATAGATATGTTATGGATCTTCGGTAGTAGTCGTGGCATCTATTATTCGTTGATTTCATCGATAGTGTTTCGAGATGGGTTGGAGAAGGGACGTTGGGAAACGATGTTGGGGAAATACTTAGGATTCTGCCGACATTATTTTGAGACGGGCTACAAAATGGTGGGCAAAGGCGACGATTTGTGTTGAAGTTAGGATACCCATGTGTTTGGGTTTAATTGTGATCATGCTCAACAAAAAAGGAAAAAGTGAAAGAAATAAGCACTAAAGAGGATGAGAATCGGTCCCGATACCAAACTTGTGGTAGCCGCCTTGGGAAACGGTGGTGGGAAACAACTTAGGATTTTGTCGACAGCATTTCGAGATGGCCTGCAAAATGGTGGGCAAAGGCGATGATTTGTTCAAAAATTCGTAAACGAAAACCTAGCGAACAATAATTAAACAAAAAGGCGATGATTTGTGCCAAAAGTCGTAGACGAAAATCTAGCGAACAATAACTAAACACAAAAGTTGTAGAATGGAGAGTGAGGAAAAAGGACTTGGAACTTCCCCGATTGCACTTGAAGGAGTGTGAGAGCCACTAATAAATAGTAACCTACAACCATGGCTTTTATATATTAAATAATTAATTAATAATTAATGCTCAACCAAAAGGAAAAAGACAATGAAAAAAACACTTAAGAGGATGGAACTCGGTCCCAGTATAAAACTCGTGATAGCAGCCTTGGTAAATGGTGGTGGGGAACAACTTATGGGTCGTTTACTTGACATTTAATTTCTTATAGCTGCCACAACAGAAAACAATATAAAATGAAAAAGAAGCACTAATTTCCTGATAAACAAAACCTGAAGAAAACGTGTTTTGCTGGGAATTTTGGTAAGTTCTGAAACTGATTTCTGAAAATGAAAATATGTTTAGTTACTTCATATTGTGTTCTGATACGTAACTACCAAAATTTTGTTCATTGGGTATCATACAATTCTAACCATGAGTAAATCAGTAAATCAATGCTCAAACTTTTGATTAAAGCCAAGAGTAAATCAGTGCTCAAACTTCTTTCATGAGCCTCATCAATGACAATCCAAAGATGGAAGGAGCAAGATAGTAAATAAAAATAACTATTGTTACCTGGTAATCCCTAATTCTGGCCAGAATTTCCCACCGGTGAGCATAAATCGGGAGTCCATCCTACAGCCGGCTGGAGAAGGGAAACTCGGAAGGGCTGGTGGATTCTGGACGGAGAGGAAGATAATGGACTGGTGGTGGTCTCGTGGTAGAAGGAGAGTGACAATCCACGCGGCTACTGGAGGGAGAGGGAGATGGCGGCCGCTGGTGTTATGAGAGGAAAGGTCGAGCGAAAAGTCGTATGGACTAAAACGGCAGCGTGTAGAAGCAGCTCAGGAAAAGGAGAAAAAATATGTACTCGCAGGGAATCGAAAGTGGGGACCTCATTAATGAATAGTGCACATATTCTGCTAGGCAATGGGGAATAACCCGCGATCTTAAGTTTCCGGGGAAACGGCTATTTGTTGTTTTCTCGCAGCTTTCTCATTTGCAATAATTGATTTTATTCACAAAAACGAAACAGACAAGTGAACACATTTAGGGGTCGTTTGGAAGTTGCGATTGTTAAATAGATGTATTGTTGAGAATGCATGTATAATATTATACATGTATTGTCGAATTTGATGCATTGTAGAATACAATGTTTGGTATGTGTGATTGTGTATGTCGCATCAGCTAAAAGTTGAGACAAAACAATCTCAACAATAACAACTAAAAGTTGAGATATAACAATCACTCAAAATGAGTGATAGTTTCTATCACATCACAGAAATAATCCATGTATTGTTTCTTTCTGCTAAAAAAACAAAAAAAAAATAACTGATGCATTGTAAACAATACATGCATAATGACAATCTCAACAAAACTATCGCAACTTCCAAATGACCCCTTATTGTCATTTCTTTACTAATTTTCATTTTTTAAATAGAAAACAGAAAACGAAATAGGAACTCAACATGGCATTAGCATTCCTCCAATTATATTTCGAGATGGGTTGAAAACCCTTTAATTTTTCTTGTCGTAAAAGAAGAAATTGCTCTCTAGTTGTTGGGTAGAACCGTAGAAGGTAAATTTGCACAAAAAATAAAGTGGGGAGCTAAATTGCCAAAATCAGCCAAATTTGTTATCAGTTAAGTTTCAGCCGCAGTCGAATAAACAAGCTGCACCTGCATGTATATATTACCAAGGAAAATAAGAATGGCAGCGTATTGTATTAGTGACACGGTAAACCGTATATGCATTATGATTGAATCTTTTCTAACAATTTATGTTATTGGGATCCACTTGAGTTATAATAGCGGTAAATGGTGTACATTATTAGGTGAGATCAAATGGGAGGAAGTTAAATGAATTCAAATTTGTTTTAGGGAATTAATCCTGGAAACTCATCAGAGTCTAGATGCTTATGGCCGGCTAACGTCAACACTGGCGGTGACAGTGGCGTTGATTTGGATGCACGGAGGCGCCGATTTTCTCAAAGAGAAGAGAAATGGAAGAGATATGAAGCAGGGACGAGGAATTATAATTTCGCACTTGATGTTTAGGGTTTATTCATTTATCACTTAATCGAACCTTTCTTGT